TATAGATTAAGTTCAAGTTGATAAATCTGCAACTATTCACTTATTTTATATACAAGTAAAACTTTGGTCATAATTCTTTAAAGTCAAAATTTTTGATATTTTCTTAGCAATTATTACTGTTTTTAAAAACTATTCTGTTTATATTTTTACTAACTCACAATATATAATTTTTAAATATTATAGTATCTGCTTATTATCATTTAAACTCTTTTATACCAATACTCTATACTTCTCTATTTGGCAAACTCTATTAACTCATTTAACATTCAGCTTATTTTTACAAAGTTATTATACATCAAAATAATCTATTTAATAATATTACTAACCAACTTACTTATAGTTACTAAATACTATTTTTTTAATATTTTTAATTAACAACTCTTATAACTTTGTTTATACTCTATTTATTAATTAATTTTCTATTTAGATTCATATTTGATATTCTATTTAGGGCTCTGCAAATGCCCATGCCAAGCAGATTGGCATTATGCCAGGCACTAGTGCCTCATGTCATGCCCATACCCATAGGCTCAAAAGTGCCAGAAATTATTATAGACATAAGCACAAATGCTAGGCATTTTTATAATTATAAGCACAAATGCCAGGTACTTTATAGGCATAAGCACAATATGTTAAACAAAAAAATGCCAAAAATTGTCAGGCACAAGTGCCAAATAGTACCAAACATATAATTAATCAATAAATACTAAATTTTTGTGCTTATACCTATGCCTATGCTAAGTTTTCATACCTGTGCTTATGCCTATGCCAAATTTTTGTGGCTGTACCCATGCTTATGCCAAATTTTTATATTAGTGTTTATGCTCATGCCAAAGCTTTCATGTCCATTCCCATGCCTGAATTTTTGTTGGGCATAGGCACGAGCCCGGTTTGCAGACCCCTAATTCTATTTATCCTATCTGTCAAGCTTATATTATAATGTTTTAAATATCCTAATACTATTTTTAACAATTGTATTTAATATCAATTGGAAAACTATCTGACTTTATTTTAATACTAACCAAAAAGTTTTTAACTTTGCTTATAATTTCTAGTTTTTTGCTCTAAAAACCTTTTGTATTAAAATTCTTTTAGATAAACTATCTGTTTCTTACACTCTTCATAAATATAACTCCTCTTACTCTTTTTCTGTCACCAATACAATCAAACTAGTTCTCTATTATACTAAACTATTTGTTCTTTTATCTAAACAATTTATTAATTAATTTCTAATTTTCTTAATTGTATTTTAAATACAACTGCTTTTAACATATTTACTAATCTTGTCTCTAATTTATATTAAAAAATTCTTATACTTAACAGTTTTAATCTGTATAACTTTTTATATATATCATCTCTTATATTTATTTTATTTGACTTAATTTTTATTGACTTTATTTCCACTATTACAATACTTCTATTTTTTATTATATTATTATTTCTTTTTCTATTAAATTTTTTTTTAAACCAACAAATATATAAACAAATATGGATTTCATATTGCATATTACATTTTATACAATTTCAAATCATAATTTCTATAAACATAACTTATAATTTTCTTTCTAGTTTATTCTTATCTCTTATCTCAATATCATAAATTATTATTATAATTGATCTTTGAACTATTCAATAAATTAAATGTCATACTCTTCTTTTTTATATTATTACTAATATCTAAATCTAGATAGACTTAATCACTCTTGTAAGTTTAGATTACAGATTATATGTTTGAGTCTTTATTTTCTTATATAATTTAAAAACAAACTTTTCTTTATAAAAATTTTAATTGAACTTTAATAAAGTTAAAAATATGATCTTATTTTAATATTAAAAAAAAAATGCTTAAAATAATAAAAGCTTAAAATATAATTATATAATATTAAATATAATTTATAATTTTTATACTACCCTATATTTTATATAATTAATTGGTAAATTATTTTTAAAAGAAACAAAAAATAATAATTCTTATAATAAACAAAATCAGAAATTTATATATTTTTTCTATAGTATAGAAATGATGATTGCTTATATATAAAAGTATTTTTTTAATTAAGTAATTTTTTTTATTGCTTAATTGAAAATTGTAAAGCTAAATCTGTGATTCTAATAGTAGTAAAATCATCAAAATTAGTTGAATAGATCATAAGATATGAGTATTTTTCAATCATTTACTATAGAGTTTTTGATTAAGAATTGAAGCACATAACATTTCACTTACTATATAAGGTAACTAATCACATGCCTGCCAATTTTTACTATAAAATTTGTACCTTTTAACTATGGACTACTAATTAAATTTTAAAATATTAATTTTACTATTTTATTTGCCAAAAACAGAGTATGAAGTACATAGATATCAGAAAGAGTATAATTTACAATGGTATGCCTCTTTTTGTCCAATTTATTAATCTATTTCATAAATTCATCTTAACATCTATATATTTATACTGCTTTTTGCCTATTATAAAAAAAAAGCAACTTACATGCTTATGATCGAAGGATTATTCTAAATTATTATAATGTCAAATTTCTCTATTTATTATTGTAACTTTTAACCTGTATTTGCACATGAAATTATTCATGTTTTTACCTCTTTTTGTTTACCATTACTGTTCTGACTATATTTTCGTTATTAGAATCATTTGTATTATACAAATCTTTTGCTTCACTTGATTTGAAAAAAATCAAGCTTCTAGTTATACCAATTTACTTTATTTAAATATAAAATTTTCATATACCAAATTTCAACTATTCTTAGAATTAAATTCAATAATTCAAAAATCTATTTTTAAAGCATGTCAAATCAAACGTCTGATAGTGTATATAGCATACGTGATACACATAATGCACGTAACATTAATTAAATAATTTATACTCAACATTATACAAGAAACAATTTTTATTAGAATCGAAAGACAGTTTCATAATAAAATTTTAAATAACAATATTTTCACTATTTGATCTAGAATTTTCTAAGATTTTTTTTATGCACTGTACTATACTACGAAATGCAACAACAAATATATTTACTAAATGCAATACCAATGCTTCTCATGTTTTTCATTCCTGGTTTTGCGTGATAACGTTGCGCAGCTATCTTGTTATATATATATTTAATAGATAAATAAATAAATAGATGCGTATGCATATTAACATATGAATTTTGTAATCATTGTAAAACATAATTATATTTATTGTTTTTATATTAATGAAGTGATTATTATTTTATTTGTTATAAAAATTTTCATTAATATTGGAACAAACTTGGGTAATTCAAAGTTGATTTATTATATAAGGCAATTCCATTGTTTAAAGTGTCTTTCTTGATATATTGAAAAATCTTATATATTACTACTGTTCTTAATTATTAAATTCTTGAAGACCATTAAGTAAAAAAAATGTAATCAACTAAACTATATCTAAGTTACAGTAATTTTACGCAATTCACATGATCTGTACTACAAATTAAACTCTATAATCTAAATTACCACTGTTAAAGGTAAAACTGACACCTCATGAAACCTGCTAAATGGACATCATTGTGGCATACTTACCTAATTAGAGCTGCCCATGATGATCCATCTAAAACATGTATGCCCAGCCTCAAAAAGATGCTATATGAAAGTACACAAGCCTCAATGTGGGACCCAACCACCCTTCCAATTAAAGTAAGGTCGACTTGGACCAACCTGTTGTGCTGGAAATGGATGTTAACTTCATCTGCCTTACTCGGGTTAGGAATAAGGTGATGTTAAGAGGATGCGATTGAAGACAATACGATGAGTTCTGGCCCCAGGATCATGTAACTGAAACATTTCTTAATCAAAGCTGTGAGAAATGTTAAAATAATGAAAGACTATATGGAAGGGGTTAAAGGTTATAACAAATAAGATTGGGAAGTGTTAGTAATAATGAGGAGAGTCGTGGTCTTGCACGGGCTCTTCTCTTGTTCAATTTATTATAAAAAGAGTGAAATTTCCCCCTTCCGAAAGGTATCTCAATACAGTTCAGAATAGTTCAGCACAGTCCAGAATAGCCTTTAACAATATAATTGTATTCCTCTACAAAATACTAATAAAAGTTAATAAAGATCCTTTTAACTTGTAAAATAAATCAACATTCTTTTAAAACCATAATACTCATCTTGTAATGCTCCTCTATGATCGCCTTGATCTTGTGCCAAATCATAAAACCACCTCTATTATCTTTAGGAATATTATGCAGCATAATCCTTTTTCTAGTGACAATTCGTCGCATTTGCCTCATTTCTGAACTCATTCATTAAACCTGTTACAATAATTGGTGGTGACTGTGAGATCGTAACGACTAAAAATTTATTAGTCAACATTTGAAAAACACAAAAAAAAAAAAAAAATGGACCTGAAATTCCACTAATCTAACACTGTACCAACCTTCCAGTTCAAGTTGACTATGTTTGAGTTCCTTGTTGGAAGATTAAAAATGAAGATGAAACCTGTTGACATAGAAGAGACATACCCAGATTCGTAAAGCTGTTTGTAATTAATCATGAAAAAAAGAAAACTCTACTTGACAAACCATGCAGGATACCTCATCATTAAAATTATCAAAAAAAAATTTCGGTCAAGATACAAAAAAAAAAAAAACATTAGTATAATAATAACAAAAAAAAAAAAGAAAGAAAACCAGAAGTCGAACTTCCCTAAATAGAAGCCCTCCTACAAGTTACTAACAAAGAAAAATATATAATAATTTTCTTTCATTATTACATACAAAAAAAAAAATTACCAATCAGTTAATAATACTTAACAAACAAATAAGAGATCTACAACAATAGCAATCATAATTACCTTATTATTAGAGTGCCCCATCATAGATTCCACACCAACTCTAATATAAATAAGTGTAAAAATCTAATTATTAATCACATTTTTACCTTAACAAGAAAAATCCAGAAAAAAAAAAAAAAAAGGTAGTAGAAATTTTTTTTTTATATATAAGAACCTACTGGAATCATGAACCCTCAGCAATCCAATGATCATAGAACTTCTCCCAACATTTTTGAAGACGACGATTTACTGACCTTTGACAACAACCATCCCTCTGGAAGTTACCTTACACCTGTGAATAGCCCTTTGCTAATAGAGACAATCAAGCCAATAATGAAAGACAAGTCCAAGCACAAGAACCAGACATTCTGGAATTAATTCTGCAGGAAATCACTGCTAGATTTAAAGAAGTGACCGTAGAAGTTGCTGCTGCTGCCAGACCTCCTGTTCATGAAACCAATTTAGTCTGTGTAAACACTTTCCATAGAGACGAAGAAGAGGACCCTCTTGAGTGGGTAGAAGCCTTTGATTGTGCAGCCGATGCCAATAATTGGTCCTCTGAATGCAAGATAAAGATAGCCTCTGGCTACTTACGTGGAATTGCCACAAGTTGGCACAATGAAGTGAAGGATAATTTGGTATATTGGGATAGAGAAACCCATTCAGATAAAAGTTTCGTTCAATTGTTCGTCCAGTATTTGTGACACCTGAAAAACTACACAAGTGGCAGGTTGACCTAAATGAACTAAAACAGCAGCCGTCTGAGCGAGTGGATTCATATATGTACAAGTTCAAGAAATCGTTGCGAAAAGTGGACCCCAGGAAACAGCTTCCTAGAATGTATGTTGTACAAATGTTTCTAGGTGGTCTCAAAGCCAAGATCACTGCATGTTTAAGTATTGCAAACCCTGATAGTTTGGATGCTGCAATACAAGGTGCCTGTAAAATCGAAGCTGGAGAATACTACAATAAAAAAGGTGGAAGGAACGAAGCACATGATAATGAAGTCACCTGATTAAACTAACAAATACAAGTACTAACTACTGGATATAAAAAGTTAACAACTACATTAGCCATGTATTTCGAAGCAAGACCTCGAACCAACAATAATCACGGCAACCACAGCAATCATGGTAATCACAGCAAAACAACACTCATTTGATTTGTTACAATTGTAGAGAACCTGAACATATCTTATGCAATTGTGTGTTAGAAAGAACCCAAAATCAAAATCGACCCCAAATGCAAAATCGAGTGACACCTCAAGCCTAGCCACAAGTTCATGTAAACCATGCTGCAACATCAAACCAGATCCTCTCCTGCCCAAGAGATGCCAATCATATAAGTATAATCGACAAACAAGATGAAAATGTTGACGAAAATTAAGCCTTTACAGCCCCTTCTGTTCGTCATCAACTGTACACCACTCAAAGACCCAGCCGCTATAGGAAAATAGCATCCATGCCAGTTAATAAAGGATTCCATTCCAACCAGGCCCCTGAAATTGTGCCTGCCATGGCCCCGTCAAGTGAAAACCCACTAGTAACAACTACCCCAATAATGTCTGCCCCAGTAATGCCTACCTTAGCAGCACCTATACCAGTGGATCCCCCACAAGTACCCCATAGAAAAAGAGAACCTTCAGTGGTTGATAGCCTGAAACTGTATAACATTGTACAGAATTTGTTGAATATGAAAGCCAATGTTTTGTTGGGTCAAATACTGCAATATTCCGATCAAAAATGCAACCTGGTGAATGTGATGAAAAGGCCCTTAGTACCTATAACAAACCAGGACCCTGAACCAATCGATATGGAAGTAATGACCATACAAGCTCCTACAATCGCAAGAACTATCACCACTTATTGCCACATTAGAATTAAAGGAAACCCTGTAGTGGCTGTGCTCGATTCAGGTGCTGCTGTTAGCATATTGTCAAATAAAATAGCAGAAAAACTGCAATTGAAGATCACGAACCTTTTACAACAATGGTCCTCATTGCAAATGAAGCCAGGATAAGGGCTCTCAGAAAAATAATCAACCTTAAGTTGGTCATGAGTAGTGTAGTGATTACGACCACTTTCCAAATCATAAAATCAACCAAACAGACCCTCTTGTTGGGTATGAATTGGTTCCACCAAACTGGCACCCATTTGAACACTGATAAAAGAATGCTGTACGTGCAATGCCAGAGTAAATTCGTGGAAATACTCATGTTTTATAAAAAAGAAATCCTAACAGTTCCCCTAGCAATAAAAGAGGAGCCTAATAAACCAAAAAAGCCAGATGATGAAGACCCATTCGACGATTTCGAATTTGACAATGAAGATTTAGACGAAGTAAAAAGGTTCTTGACTGACCAATGTAGTGTGTTAGAGCTGTATGACAATCTGTGGCTCGACCATGAAAGTCCTACTGTGTATTTGTCTAGTGTTAAATGTATTCTAGTAAAGAAAACTGAGAAAGAGGAAGAAAGCATAATCGAAAAATTAAAGAAGAATCTTGATAACGAAGCTCTAACAGATGATTAAAAGAACCATGTAAGCAACGTATTGAGTAAAAAAGTGGATGTTTTCACTAAAACCATAGACGATCTTGAACAAACATCAGTATACGTTCATGAAATAAATACTGGAAGTGCCCTCCTCGTGATTAAGCAAGTTCCCTACCGTGCTGCCTCTAGTATGCATAGCTTCATAAAAAATGAAATTAAAAAATTAAAAGCAAGGGTTTAGTCAAAGAAAGTACCAGCTCGTAGGCATCTCCCATAGTCATTGTGCCAAAAAAGGATGGTAAACTGCACCTCTGAATTGATTATTGGAAGCTCAATGCAGTTATAAAAAAGGATGCATTTCTCCTGTTCCATGTTGATGAACTTCTAGAAATTTTTGGATTAGCCACTTGGTTTCAATGTTGGATTTGCTATCCAGATACTGGCAAGTTCGTGTAAAGGATACTGATAGGGAAAAGACTGTGTTCATTATGAATTTTAGGACGTATGAGTTCATAGTAATGCTATTTGGCCTAATGAATGCTCACACCATATTTCAACATATGATGAATGAAGTGTTTGCTGAGTTTTTGGATCAATTTGTCGTCATGTACCTTGACGACATTATCATATATTTGCCAATGTTCGAGAACTATACTAACTATCTCATCGCTGTATTTAATAAATTAAAAAGTGTAGAGTTGAAATTAAACCCAGACAAGTGCTTTTTTTTTAAAACCCACCTGCAATTTTTAGGACGCATCATCAGTAGAGAAGACATCCACTCTGATGAAGGAAAAGTAGAGAAAGTTCATAACTTTCCCTCCACTAGTCTCTTCGTGAATTATGAGGTTTTTTGGGATTAGCTTCATACTATCAGAAATTTATTCTCAAATTTACTACTAAAGCATACCCCTTACACTTGTTATTACAAAAAAATGTTAAATTGAAGTGAAAAAAAGATCAAAACGATGCTTTCAATAAACTAAAGCAACATATTATCAATATGCCAATTTTATATTACTCGAATTTCGATAAAGCATTCATAATTCATGCAGACGCTTCTGGGTTCAGTTTAGGTGCCATGTTGGCATAAAAAGACGATCAAGGTAATAAGTATATGATCACATATGCAAGCCTTGGATTAACCAAAGCTAAAAGAAATACACCACCACTGAACATGAATGTCTTGCTGTCCTTTGGGTGATTGAACACTTTCGTCATTACGTCAGATTGGATGTTTTCGTTGTAGTTACCAATCATTCTACCTTGAAGTGGCTCCAAACTTCTGCATTGAGTGGTCGATGAGCTCATTGGGTGTTAAGGCTGCAGCCTTACAATTTCAGAATCATTCATTGTCATGGACATATCCTTAATAATGAGGATGCATTAACCCGAATTAGAGAACCCCCGAATGAAATGCGCCATTGTACTGCTAATAAAAACAAAAAAAAAAAGAATTAGTAAAAGGTGAGGACTAAGTAACAAAAAAAAAAAATAAATAAATAAAAAAAAAAAAGTCTGATATTGTGCCAAATAAAATCCAGACCAGGTTACCAGTGTCCTGGCTTCCCCATCGCAAAAGTGAGAACAATTGAAAAACAAAAAAAAAAAAAGATAATAAATAAATAAATAAATAATAAGAATATATAAAAAAAAAAAAATTATATATATGTATATATCTATATATAGAAAAAATAAAAATAAAAATAAAAATAAAAAAAAAAAAAAAAAATAATAAAAAAAATCATTAAATATTTTAATAAGTGGTGACAAAATAACAATAGTGCAAACAGATATATAACTATATATATATCTAAATCAAATAAAATAAGTACAAAAAAAAAAAAAAAAGAACTATAAATATGGATCCCACTCACTATCGGCAATTGAAGTAATACATAGAAAAGCAATACCTATCTCCAATCGTCAACCAAGCCTAGCAATGACGAATTAAGAAAAAGAGTACCTTCTTCAACCTCAAGGATGGATTCTTGTATCAGAAAGACCAAAAGAATAAAGGAAGGTTATTACGAGTCCTGCAACAACACTAAGTTGTCCCAATTTTGTTTTTGACACATATGCACCTGCTAGATGGACATTTTAACAAGGACGTTATGTTCGAGAAGATCTGTAATACATACTTTTGGCCCCAAATGTATGTTAATATACACCATTATTTTCAAACATGTGACCAATGTCAACGTTGAACCTGATCACATAAACAAGGTTCCCTACACCCGCTACCAGTAACTGCACTCTTTTATAAAATCAGAATAGATTTTATTGGCCCACTACCATGAACCTCCAGGATGAATCGATACATCATCATCTTCACCAATTACATGACCTGTTGGCTGGAAGCACGTGCTGTGCAGAAAGCGGATGCTCAAACCATTGCAGAATTCATCTACGATGATATAGTGTGTCACCATGGGTGCCCAAATCAAATCTTGTCAGATCGTGGGATGCACTTTAGAAATGAACTAATAAGTCACCTGTTGAAAAAACTGAAAATTATACAAAGTTTCTCCACACCATACCACCCTTATACTAATGGCCTAGTTGAACACTTCAACAAGACCCTGTGTGAAGCTATCACCAAGCTCATTGAAAACATTGTAGATTGGGATTTGTTGTTCCCCTCAGTGTTATTCATCTATCGAACCGCCCAAAATTCTGTCACCTGAATGTCGCTCTTCTTATTAGTATACGGTCATGAGCAAGATTGCCTATTCATCTGTGCCAAGAAGGAGAAATCTTGGAAGAAACTATCTTGCAAAGAACCTTCGATCTTGTAAATATCATATCTGTCCTTCATGAAAAGGCCATCCAACAGGTTAGCTAATAGCAATTAAGGCAAAAGAAGTATCATGATAAGCACCATAAAATTAGCAATAGATTCAACATTGGGAACAAAGTCTTTCTTGAGGATGCTGCAAAAAGATACTCATAAAGTGAAAAATTCACCCCAAAGTATAAAGGACTGTTCTTTATCCACGATAAACTAGTGAACGATACGTACAAATTAAGGACAATGGATTGAAAGGTAATAACGATGCCTTTCAACTTGCAGCTACTAAAGAAGTATCACGAAAGAGAGCTGAATGAATACAACAACAAAACATAAAAAAAAAAAAAAATCCTTATCTAGTGCCTTTCTAAATGATCAGTCACGAAAGTCATACACGGAGATATGTTTGGGATGTATGACAAGAGCGTGAATGCTCTTTGTTTTTGAACGTGGACATGTTTTTGTTTTTGTTTTTGTTTCTTTGGTTGTGTATGACAGTCATATTTGGGGATATGTTTGAAACGTATGACAAAAGTTTGATATGCTCTTCATTTTTGAATGTAAATGTGTTTTTGTTTTAATTTTGATTTTTTTTTCTTTTTGAATTTGAGTGTGTGTAAGTTTTTGGTTGTGTATGACAGCCATACGCATGAGTTGGGGCGTATAGCAAGGGTTCTACCTTTCGTCTTGGATGTGGATGTTATTTTTTTCATTATATTCATTCTGGAGTCATGTGACTCACAGTAGGTTGTTTGAGATTAGTCTAGAAATTGACAATTGATTCCATTAGTATAGCATAGTTTTAGTATTATAAAAAAAAAAAAAAAAAAAACTTCTTTTTGAGTAGGCTGTGAATTGAACTCCCGAATCACCAACCGAATTACAAGGGATGCCCTACGAACTTGACCCCTGTAAACCTTTTTCACGGGACGTGAAAAATTGAGGTAGGAAGAAATGTCAGAGGTAAAAGCGATACCTCATAGAGCCTGCAAAATGGACGTCATTGTGGCATACTTACCTAATTAGAGTTGCCCATGACGATCCATCTGAAACATGTGTGCCCGGCCCCAAAAAGATGCCATATAAAAGTACACAAGCCTCAATGCGGGACCCAACCACACCTCCAATTAAAGTAAGGTCGACCTGGACCAACCTGTTGCGCTGGGAATGGATGTTGACTTCATCTGCCTTACTCGGGTTAGGTGTGAGGCGATGTCAAGGGGGCGATTGAAAACAATACGATGAGTTCTGGCCCCGGGATCATGTAACTGAAACATTTCTCAATCGAAGCCGTGAGAAATGTTAAAATAACAAAAGGCTGTGTGGAAGGGGTTAAAGGTTATAACAAATAAGGTTGGGAAGTGTTAGTAATAATGAGGAGAGTCATGGTCTTGCGCGGGCTCTTCTCTTGTTCAATTCATTATAAAAAGGGTGGAATTTCCCCCTCCCGAAAGGTATCTCAATACAGTTCAGAATAGTCCAGAATATCCCTTAAATAATAATTGTATTTCCCTACAAAATTATTAATAAAGTTATTAATAAAGACCCTTTTGAACGCCAATACAATAACGCTCTTTAAAATCATAGTACTTATCTTGTAACGCTCCTCTACGATCGCCTTGACCTTGTGCCAAATCGTAAAACCGCCTCTATTATCTTTGAGGA